TCTGAGTTAACTTCACATATTTTCAGATGCGACCTAACATCACTAACAGAAAATGTTTGCTAGTTGATCTTGATATCTTAATATCTTTCGGTTTCTCGCTTGGGAAAATATTGTGTTGGGCCACCCTCCCAATGTGAAAGGCGCTATACCAAATGCAAGGACACAAAATAAAACCAAGGTTAAAAACATTCTCATATAATTCTTTTTAATGCCCAAAGTGATTTTTACAAAATGCCAAAATTATGAGCAGGGGCGTTCCATGAGATCTACCATCACAAAAGTATATTGAACCATAAATTGAAGTCAACCACTCATGAAGAGCTATATGCTCATTTTGCCTGATGTATACAATAACTGTGTGAGTCAGGAGGAAATAAAGAGGATGACGAAGACACATGCAACTTTTTTTCTTTAAAAAAAACACATGGGAACACCAGTAATAGCTTTCACCATAAACCAGGCAGAGGAACCAAATCCCAAGTTGTTTCCTGAGCCAGGATTCAAAACCATTTAATAAGGCATAGAATATAGTAAATGGTGAATCAGACATGTATGTTCCTGCTGGATTGTGAAAGATCACTTGGTTGTTTCTATTACATTTTTTATTTTAAATTTACATACTTCATTTGGTTCCTGTGCAGCAGTCAAGCTGTGAGGTGAAAATTGCTTTTGACAAATGATGAGCTGGTTTTAGAATGACAAGAAACAATGTCCTTCTCCTCTTAGAGCTACACAAAGTGGGTCCAAACTCTGGCTTAGACATGCTACTGATCTCCATCTTAAAAAATGAGCAACTAACTTGAGTGCAGAGGTGAGCAGAACATTCTCCTCAACTCATTGATGGACTGACTGGACAGAATACAATTTCAGTCACAAAATTCCACCTTCTGCGTGTAGGCCAAAAGGTCACATATCCATAAGACCATAAGACGTATGAGCAAGAATAGGCCATTTGGCCCCTCAAGCCTGCTCCGCCATTTAATAAGATCATGGCTGACCCTTTTGCAACGAACGCCAACATGGTTTTAGCCTTCCTAGTTGCTTGATGTACCTGCATACTAACTTTTTGTGACTGGTGTACAAGGACACCCAAATCCCTCTGAACACTGCTCACCTCTACCTCGTCTCTCCCCCTCTAGAAAATAATCCGCTTTTCTATTTTTACTATCTAGGTGAATAACTTCCACACATTATACTCCATCTGCCACCTTCTTGCCCACTCACTTAGCCTGTCTATTTCCCTTCGCATTCTTTTTGTGTCATCCTCACAGTTTACTCTCCCATCTAGCTTTGTATCGTCCACAAATTTAGATACGTTAAGTTTTATTTCCTCATCTAAATCATTGATATAGACTGAGGTCCAATCACTGATCCTTGTGCACTCCACTAGTCACATCCTGCCAATCTGAGAAGGACCCATTTATCCCTACTCTCTGTTTTGTTCCTGTTAGCCACTCTCCAATCCATGCTAATATATTAAAACACCAACATGTCAGTGTTCCATTCCTAAATCAAAGGAGACTTAGAGATTAAGCAGGTCCACAAATGCTGCTCTCTCATTTCTATTGTGTGGAGTCCTGTAGCTCAGTGGTTAGAGCACTTGCACAAAAGACGATGGGTTCAATTCCCGGCAGGGTGTGACCTTGGGCAAGTTTCCTTATTCCACACGCCTTAGAATAATCCCAAGAAAAAAAATAAAATAAAATTGGTGACTTCAATCTACGACTGTTTTTGTGGGACACTGCTGTGCACAATTGGCTGCCACGTTTCGCTCACAAATTGTATAGTCAATTCAGTTTACAGTATATTCTGTGAAGCGCTTTGAGATGTCTCAATTACATAATGAGGCACTATATCAAATGTAAGGATTATTATTATTTATTATTGCTGCTCAAGTCTAACCAGCTAAACACATAGCTTTCATTGCTGCTGATTCAGCTCGGACCATCCGACCCGTTAGAGCTTTGGCTTGCAGGTTTAACTGGAGCTGAGTGGAATGATTCTCTGCCCCCAATGACTGGCCTGCCCTTTCAAGTCCTGTCGATGAGCCAGGCTGGTTGTGCTGTCATCAGCAGTGCCCTGGAATAATGCGGACCTGCCTGGCTCAGGAACCGGACTAATGAGACCACCACAGAGAGCTGGCTGGATTCTGACATTCCGTTGCCAAACATTTCACCTTGGAACCACTTCAGCTCCAAGGAGACCCCACTTACCCCCCAAAAGGATAGTCACTAGTTGGTCGTTTGACATTCGACAAGTGCGGGTTTAAGCCCTCACTAGGTGGATGGTAGGTACAGGAGCTCCCTGCAAGTTTCTCAGTGGGCAATAGAGCTCAGTATGAAATGTGTGAGAGCGTTCCCACCATCTTCTTGTCTGCAGTATCGGGTACATGTTCCTTCCCATTGAGCGATGGTTCCACCAGTTGGAGGTGCAGTTTAAGCAGCAGCTGATTGCCTCTCTACAAACCAATCAAGATGGATTCCAGGCGCTGGATGTACAAACGTATATTCACAAACTTGGACTCTGGGTAACACCTTCAAGCAGCTGTCATTCCACGTCACAAGCTTGATGTTCTTGAGGTCCAAGGGCAATGCCGTGTACAAAGTTTACTCAGCACAAGCGGCTTAATCCAGGACCTCATGTGAGGGGCCTTGGCAAATAGATGTGGCCACTGTGAAGCCACCTCCAGGGTGCTTAGTGACAGGTCAGTGTAGGTCGGAGCCCTCCCTCCCTGCAGCCACTTCCCATATTTACCACAAATCCACCACACCCACTACAAGCGCTCTGGGACACTACCCTGCGTGAGGGATGGAATATAAATGCAAGTTGTTGTTATTGATTGATCCTGGACTTTGCGAATGGGTCAGAGGAAGTCTCCACACTGCATCTCTAGGAGCTCGGATCCATAGAGGAGGATTTCCATCTTTACTGCAACCAACTTCCGATATACTTATTTGCACAAGCCAAGCAATTTGTTAGGAGGCTAAGTTAGGAGGCTCATTAAGAGGTTCAGTCTCTAAGCCAGGAGGCTGAAAAAGTTGTACAGATGGGAGCAGGAGGTTACAAAGGGACTAAGACAGATTAAGTGAGTGGGCAAAGCTGCAGCAGATGGGAGTTCAATGAAGGGAAGTGCGAGGTCATCCTCTATGGACCGAAAAAAGTAAAATATTTTCTTAATGGGGAGAAATTAAGAACTGTGGAGGAGCAAAGAGATATCCACAAAACACTAAAAAATAATTCCCAGGTGCAAAAAGTAATCAAAAGGCGATGGAATGTTGGCCTTTATCTATGTAATTTTGTTGTTGTTAAGGGGCCTGGAATACAAAGGGGAAGAAATGATGCTTCAGCTGTACAGAGCGTTAGTCAGACCCCCATCTGGAGCACTTGTGGTGAGTATTGTATTCCCTTGAGTTTAGTAGGTCGAGGTGTGATTTGATTGAGGTATTTAAGATGATAAAGCAATTCGATAGGGTACAACAACAACAAAATTACATTTATAGAGTGCCTTCCAACTTGGGAGGATGTCCCAAGGCGCTGGACAGTCAGGGGTCAGGACCCAAGCATGGGGGAGGGGCGGGATAGGGGTGAGGGAAGGCAGAGAGGTGGGAGGGCGACTGAAAGTACGATTGAAGAGGAGAGTCTTGAGACCGGCCTTGAAGGAGGCAAGGGAGGAAGCGAGGCGAAGGGACTGTGGGATGGAGTTCCAGAGTGTGGGGGCAGAGAGGCTGAAATCCCGGCCACCGATGGTAGGGCGGGTCGGGCGGGAGACATGGAGCAGGCTGGAACCCACTGAATGGAAGGAGCGGGCAGGTTGGTAGGGAGTCAGCAGGTCAGAGAGGTAGGAGGGGGCAAAGCCATGGATGGACTTGAAAGTGAGGACGAGGATCTTGAATTCGATCCTGAGGGATGGGGAGCCAGTGGAGTCGGGCGAAGATGCGATGGGGTCACAGAGCCTGGTGCGCGAGAGTACACGAGCTGCACAATTTTGGATGATCTGCAGAGAAGGAAAGAGTTGGGAAGGCCAATGAGGAGGGAGTTTCCATAATCGAGCCTTGATGTGACGAATGCGTGGGTGAGCGTTTCGACAGCCTGAGGGGTGAGGCAGTGGCGGAGTCTGGCAATATTGCAGAGGTGGTGGTAGGCACTGCTGGTGATGGCGCGGATGTGGGGGAGGAAGGACAGTTCAGGGTCAAACAAGACACCCAGGTTCCTGACTGGCTTAGTGAGGTTGAGTGTGCAGCCGTGGAGGCTGATGCTGCCAGCGCCCGACGTGCAGAGGCACTGGCGCGAGCCAATCAGAAGGGCCTCGGTCTTGCTAACGTTCAGTTGGAGAAAGTTGCCCCTCATCCAGGACTTGATGTCGAACAGGCAGTCGGTGTCAGGACGCCATTAGTCCTGGAGTTGAGGGTGGATGCAGAGAGATAGAGTTGGGTGTCATCCGCATACATGTGGAAATTTACCCCATGTCTGCGGATCATGTCACCAATGGGAGCATGTAGAGGGTGAAGAGGAGGGACTCAGGACACAGCCCTGAGGAACACCACACAAGACGGTGCGTGGGATGGAGGAGAATCCATTTTCAGAGACGAAGTGGAGGAGGTGTGAAAGGTAGGAGCTGAACCAGTCAAGGACAGGATAGATACAGAGATACTATTTACACTGGTGGGGAAATCCAAAACAAGGAGGCGTAGTCTTAAAATTAGAACCAAGCCATTTAAGAGTGAGATCAGGAAGCATTTTTTCATTCAAAGGGTGATAGAAATCTGGAATTCTCTCCCCCAAAAGATCCATCCACACCTTCAAGAGTGAGGCTGATAGATTTTTGGTAGGTCAGGGTATTAAGGAATATGGGGAGAAAGCGGGAGGTTGGAATTGAAAGGATTACTTGAGGTACAGATCAGCCATGATCTAATTAAATGGTGGAACAGGCTCGAAGAGCTGAATGGCCTACTCCTGTTCCTATGTTTCTGTTAATTACATTGCAAGCAGTATTTGGAATGTAAATGAAGTAAACGGTTTTATTTGCAGTTTAATTCAAACATGTAACATTAAAATAAAGCTAGCAAACAAAAGTAAACCGTGTTTAGAAAATATGTTCTTAGTCAATAAACAATCACAATCGCTTTGCAAGACAAATGTAAAAACATCTTTGAAATCATATAAAATGGAATTAGAAGACAACTTCATCATGCATTGATATTATTCTATAAACTCTAGGGTAATGTATAAGCTTAATATTTTATATGGCACAATGTAACATCAGTTTCTAATCTTGTTATTTTACATGACAAAAGTTATGACTTCAAATAAGGTAAGTTTAAGATTAGGACTCTTTTCTGGAGAAAATGTATCATACACTACAGACATTAAATTGTTAAAAAAAAGAAAGATATCAATGCCAATGCAGAAATGTTCATGGCTGGCATATGTCAAACACATATCTAAAATACTTTTTTCTTAGTTCCGAATTATCTTTGTATTGCATTCCTATTACTTTTTATTGTGCATACATTTTACATCAAAATAAACATTTTAAAGAATATTTTTCTGAATACTTATTTCATTGTATACTAACCGATCTCAGTTCACTCACTTGTTAGGACAAAATGGAATAACACGTCGGAAGAATTTGTGTGATCAAGACCATAAATCCCGCCCAAAATATTTTGGTACATTTCTAGTTAGAATTTAAAAATTTTTGCATAATAATTAAATCTGCCAAAACTTACAATTAAGGGATAATTTGTTCACATGGTTTGTTATAGAGGTTAGATTTTTCTGAGCCCACAGAGATCCCTGAGTTATTTTGCCTTCTGTAGGAGGACGAAATAATCATTAATTAACTACAGATTATGTGTTTGATCCAACAATTCTTTTTTGTCTGGTCAACTTCAAAATCTTGAGTACAAATAGGGTAACAGGGATGAAGCAGACCTACCTCTATAAGGAGCTATATTTCCCAACTATAGAAATTCATTTCCGATTACAATTCAATCAATTATGTTAAGAAACATGAAAGAACAAAGTTGTCTTTCAATTCCGGGCTTAAAAAAACTTCACATTCAATAAACATGAATACTAAGAAGATCCAGCATGTTCATAGACAGGTTGGACTATTGCATTTAGGACATTACTAGAATTCTGCAGTGTAATACTCATTCACACCTCAGGCCTGCTTTGTAACCTTCATATTTCAAAAATAATCTGTATTATATTGTAAAGCTACTCGCTTTAAAAATTAGAGCGAGCAGCTCAAATTATGGATAAAGAAGGGACTACAAGCCCACGAGGATTTGCTGCCCCAAGTACTACAACTTGAGATGACCTGGTGTTCGCTGCTGCAGATGAACAGCAATATAACATTGATGCTGGTAATTTAAGTTACTTTCCTGCATTCCGTTATTCAAAATAAAAAAAATTGATCTATCCCTGTCAATAAAACCCAAATTCGAAACTCTAATATCACTGGACAATACAACAAGGTTTGTATTGTCTTGTCCCAACGCTTACCCACAGTTAAATGATTCAAAATGATAGATTTGTCGTACTGGAATTTAAAAAAAGTTTTGGTATTGCTCAAAGAGACACTTATATGTTGCCTCCAGAGGTGCTGGTAGAGTCAAGTAGTCGAGATTATTATATGAGAACAGATGGTGCATTAAAGTTGAAAGCCTGAGGTCCATTAATACCAGGCAGTTGTATCTTCCAATACCTTTGATATGGAAAATAGACAGGTCTAAATAATCACTCGCAACTTCTGAAAAATAGATTGCCTTTCTGATCCATTAATAATAATATTAATATTTGCATCTGATACACCTTATCATTTTGTTGAAACCTCTCAAAGTGCTTCCAAGGATTTAGTGTAAATTGGAGTGGAGTATTTGCAGCCAAAAGAGGAGTTGACCAACAATCTTCCGACTCAGAGACGAGTGTGAACATCTGAGCCAGGGTAACAACCAACAGATATTACCAAACCACATGGTAAAACAGATGTTAGTGAAACAAATTCCTATTGTTGTACACAAAAATAAGCAGCAAACAAACTCACACAACCACCATTTGAGTACTCCTCATTTGCACACATACTAACATTTCTCCAAAGTCTATGCCATTGAGGACAAAGTATGGTTTGGGGTAAATGATTTCACACACAATTCCTCATTTCACCAGTTCCACTAGCCAGAGGAACAGGGGCAACTAGCTTCTCATCACAGTGAGGGGAGGAATATTTGAAGTGATATTCTGCCTGTTGCTAAATTGTGTGACTGGGGACCAAATTATAAGAGTCAAGCAAAAAATGTTAAAATTCATGTGTCAATTCACCTATGGTGCACATTCTGGCAGTGGCAACAATGGCAAATGCCTGGCAGCAAACTGCATATCCTGGCTTGAAAGAGAAATGGAGTCTTGTGCAGGGTCAGACAGCAGTTCTGTTCATTGATTTGATTATATGGGTACTCAAAAGCCTTGTATTTATTTTGAGCTGTGGGCAGATGAGGGAGGGTAACAATTGACACACTTAGATCTCATCTTCTTTATAACTAACCATAAGTTGACTCACCATTGATATTTTTTCCTTACTTCTGCGAAAATATCTTCCCTCCCTATGATGCTCAAGCCGAACAGAATTCAGAATATGGAAAATATGCAGCATAAGCCCATGCTCTACCATTCTGTAGGAAGACACAATAGTATATCATCACACTGCACTTCCCCAACCCCTAGATTTTCTCCAATCATCTTCTGATGGATCATCCACAGGGCATCAAAGAGTCCAGTCTCCACATATGCACTTCAGGAAGGGGCACAGTAATGATCAGGACAGGAATCCTTATCTATTTATTATGTTAAACCTACCAACAGTATCATGACTGTCACCATAACAAAACCCAAAGTCACCTCAGGCCACAAATCACAATATACGTTTTTAGAAATTATCTAGTTATATACATTTTGAGTTAATATTGTTGTTCATAAAGGTGACAGATTCTCCCTTTTGCCTTTGCACTTTTCGTACCCAATGTCTTGGTTTTGCAAACATATCAAAATTGTATTGCTAACTAACTTACATTCTCTAGGTTTTTAATATATCAAAACAGCAAGCAGGTTCACGTGACCCTGACATGTCTTCAGTTGTTAAATTGAGCATTGAACATGCAGGCAAATAGTTATAGGTTGTCTGTGTGCTCTCCAGGAACAATATCATAGTGGGTGATGAATGTTCTCAGTTCTTCAATGCAGCGTTCACCAATCTCACGTAGATTCTCCCTCAATGCAAACTGCATAGTCTTTTCCAGTGTTGGATCTTTGTCAATGAGCATCTGAACAACCAAACCAAAGGTTTCACAATCTTGCCTGTACACCTGAAAAGCAAAATACAATATTGTTAGTCTTTTAAGATTGATTACAATTTTTAGTCGTACAACTTCTGTTCAGTGAAATAGTAATTTAACTGAACAACTTTTAGGTTAGGCAGCTTGTGTGAGATACAATCTTGCTCAATTTTCTTCTGGCCAATGTTTTTTTTACACTGCCTAACAAAATAAAAATTAACTTTGTGTTTTTTATTTATTTTATTTATAAAACCTACTTTCTCTTTTGCAAATATCTTGTGTACAAATCTGTGCTGCATTTTTCATTCCAGTCATGCAGAAGACGACAGTAGAATCTTGTGGCAAAAACAAAATGGCGAGAAGTTGGTGCCAAGTGCAGAGATTTTGATACTTAAAATGAGAAAATCCTACAAGTGCACACTGCCAACATCATTGAACTTAGCAGTGGGAATTCCCCCCACCCCCAATTTTTCTCCAACGTTCAAGATATCAGGCAAATAAATTTCCCAAACATCTGGGTAATTAATATTTGTAAGTTAAATCCACCACAAAAACATTTAATTTCATCCCCTGCCTTCCAAGCTACAAAACAAGATTCAGAAGCACTTTATAACTTTTTTAAATATAAATATACATATTATCTCAGAATTAATCGACAGAAACCAATTACTTATTAGTTTTCCATGTAATAATTAAGACCTGTAAACCACTATCACCAGCAAACTATAACTTGACTATGACCTGTCAGTGGCAAATTATGAAATGTAAGAGAAGTTCAAAGTAACATCTCCAATGTGTAACTTGTGAGCCCAAAGAACTAGAGGCTGACACAATTCCTGTTGTCAAAAGGGCAATTTGTTTTCGGTATTCTTCCCAAGCCAGCAGTTACATGTACAGCAGACATTTGGGTGGATCAACAAAACACAGTTTTTCCATTAATAATGCTGGTGAAGGCAATTAACCTTGAGGTCACACAACATTATGTATGGATTGCAAAACAAACAATGGCAAACCATCCACTTTATCACAGACCACACGTATTGTATAATTGAAAATTATAAACTCTTTGACTTTAAAACAACTCTCTTAATTTTAATTTTCCCCAGTGAACCAAGCAAGAAATGCTGTGTGGTCCATGTCAGACTACCATTGCTAATGTCACTTTAAATAGTGCACTATTTTCCCTTCATGTGTCAATTGCTTCCTGAACAAATACAGCTCCCAGCACCAAAAATAGAGAAAAGATCTGCTTGTTTCCTTATTTGCTTATTGTCAGTGGCACACTAACATAAAAGGAAAGTACCTAGTATCATAATGAGTATTTGAAACCTTTTTTATGATGATTTTCTTTATAGCTGGAATTCATCACTAATGTTTCGTTCTTTCTCAAAAATAGGAAAAATGATCAGCAATTTTGTTCCAAATCCAGATTAACAAAGCGCAGTGGCTCTGAAACTCAAGTGTTTTGGGGACCAATTTTTCACCAGTGTTTCTTGCGTAATAAGCTGCCATTAAAATGCTCCTGAGTTTCAAGTCCCAAGACATATCCCACTGATTGGTAGGATGAGTAATTTGATGGCCAAGAGCACTGGGACACTTATTGGCCACCATATTGTGAATACAGATTATTTATTAAGACACAAAAATGCATTTTTTCTTGTAGAAAAGCTTTTGAATACAAAATAACTATTGAAATAAAAACAAACACACAGCACAATAACAATCTGGTGAGGCCAATTGAACTGTCTAGCCACAAATTTGAAGAATATAAAGTGCCTTTCAGGCTGGTGCTGCTAAATGTCTCAATAAGCCTTGGTACATGGTCTGTCCCACTCTGCTATGGCAGTATTACTTTTCCATAAGATGAATGGAAAGTACACCTGTTTAATTATATTGGAGGTTTTTTCAGTACAGTGAGAATGGTGACCTGGAATTTACTTGCAATCATTGTGTAACAAATGACCCTCTTAACAGGGACTTAACCTGAATGATGATTCAAGTGCAAAGATTTGATGTTACAGGTATTTGTTTCTGTAATCTTCAGAATCTCATTTTGTAGCAGCACTTGGGTTAATCCTATACTTAGCAGAATGCTATTTATAGTCAGGTCTGGCGAGTCAAATTTTTCTATCTGTGGTAACCAATCAATCACACTGTTTAAACAACACAGTATAAGGCTCAACTGTCAAAAAGTAAACACTTTGGAGACATTGGTTAAATGGATTCTTTAATTTGGAAAGAAAAAAACTGGGCTCCTCCTATTGCTGAGAAATCCAGACAATACTGTAATAATAATATCCTCGCATTTCATATAGCGCCTTATCACGTCTTTGAGACGTCTCAAAGTGTTCACAGAATACAATGTAAAGTGAATTGACTGCATATTTTGTGGGCAAACTGCGGTAGCCAATTGCGGACAGCAGATGCAGCTCATATACAGTACCACTCATATACAGCCCAAGACAGGCACCATCTAGTTGCAAGATGCAGCATTTTTAAGCCATTTAATTTTTCATATAGTACAGTGTGTTAAAGAACAAGTTTCCATAAGATTTGTTTTTATTTCACATTTATTTTCCGTATAAATTAGGGCATAGAAATAATTATTTGTAAATGTAAAGAAAATGTCACTAAATCCCAACTGGAGAAAGTGTTCATATTCTGAACACTGCAAAGAAAATTCGATTCTTAAAATAATTAATCACGCAAGTCCGAGACAATGCTGAAAGATGCCAACAGCAAGAGAATAAAGAGAATAGATTTCAAACAATGATTACAATGCAGTTATCTCAGAGAGCATTTCAGATTGTAGATGACATTCAAGGTCTTGGTGAGATTACTGTAAACTATTCATGTCTATTTGTGGTTCAGCAAAATAATGCCTTATTCCATTTGATGAAGTTTGTGGATTAATGATTTTGGTGATGTTGCAGATATTTTCATGATTTCACATCAATACCTCTAAATATTTAATCTGAACAGGCTTCATTTTGTTATGAAAGCACTTTGTTATGCTGCAAGTCAATGTCACAGTTGAGACTATATTGAGAAAGGCATTTTAGGTTAAGATTAAGTATGATGAATCCACATACAAATTGAGAGTTACTTATAGAAACTGTGACCTTCTGCAGTGTCAGATTTCACCAACTTCATTAACTGCTAATATTGATGCTAGAAGTGGTGAAAAAATTAGCATTTGTTACATGACAGTTGATATAGATTAAAATTGCAGTTTGACATAAACATAGCAAATTTAGTCTGATCAAGAGGAATTCATTCGTATTCAAGTGAACATTAATATATGCCAAAAGGACATTCCTTCTGAAACAAACTGCACCTTATTTTTTACTGGTTAAATTCAGGGCCAGCGAAAACGTACTGCATTTTAGTTTTGTGCACAAACACATACATTAACAAGAAAGTCTTCACCAATGACCACCCATCTTGAAAAGATGTCATGACTGGTTTAACTATGGGAGAGTAAATGGTTGAATTAATTCCTGGCATTAACTTGATTGAATGAGCAAGTCTAAAGTACTTTTAGAAATAAAAATTATACTACTTTCACAAGATAAAAATACTGCAATTCTCTCCCATTACACCAATTCAGGAAATGGATAATTTTGTTAAGCCTGAATCATTGCACACTTATCAATTAATTACAGCACATAAGACGATCATTTGCTCTGAAAAGAAAATACACAATGCAATTTTGATGTTGTGTTTCTTCTTCATTAACATGTTTACAGGAAATCAATTTGACTCAACCAGTTTCAGGAGCACTGGGAATATTTTACTAACAGCTTCAGGAACATTAGACCACCAGTGCAGCCAACATACAGTATATTATACCGCATCAATGTTTATAGTGTGAACAGTTCACCCATACTTTATGGATACTATTGCAGTTCAAATTTCTACAAATTATCTCTCTGTGCGCAATTGGCTGCCATGTTTCGCACACAAAATATACAGTCAATTCACTTTACAGTAAAATCCGTGAAGCGCTTTGAGGCGTCTCGAAGACGTGATAAGGCGCTATATCAAATGCAAGTATTATTATTATACTATTTGTTCACTTTTACTACTGGTCCAACTGCAAGTTTAGCCAACATCCAGTTTGGCATTTTAATTTTTTCCAAATAAAACCACAACTTAAAAAACACTGATGAATATTTTAATTCATTTGTACAAGGAAAAGCTGCATTCTAATATTTTTCTCTGCCACTTTAGTCTCCTTCCCTCCTGAAGGTAGTGCTCTCCTTCCTCCCAATGAAATAAAGCTCAACAGGCAACTGCTGATATCTCATCCAAATAGACAGTACATGAATAACAGGGGAAGGTGGCAGGATTGACAGAGCACAGCTGAGTCTAATTTTGTCTGAATTCAATGAGTCTATGAACAATGATCTGGATTTGTAATCATTAATGAGTGCCCTTGCGGATGTTGCTCTCTGTTACCTGGAATATATGATCAATATTGAGCCTGTCCTCATGAGTACGACAACTGCATTGCACAGTTCCTATGTGATTCTCGTGCTCCAAAGCCATTAAGAGTTTGGAAAGAGGATAACCCCAACAACTAGAAGTCGATTTTAGTTTTTAGCAGTTAAGTCTATTTCTGAAATTTTTGCTAGACTGTGATCATTCTGATTTCAAAGTTGCTCTTATTAGGAACTGTAAACGGAAATGAAAGAAACCAACACTGTCAGAATACAAGTCACCAATACTCCTTGAGTTAATTTCATCCACAAACAAATGTTCTTATTGATCATGTGCGCAATAACCAAACTTCATCCATAATTCATTAGTTTCTGGCAAGTTTGTGGCCATTTACATCCCACAAGCACCTTCACAAGGACAGTGTCATGTGAACTCCTTGCCAATGATAAAACATAAAAGTCAGGGTGACACCTGGGAGCTTTTAAATTTGTGTTCAGATTGGTGGTTTCAGACCAGAGCTATATTTCCACATGCGTGCCAATATGCTAGGAAGAAAAAGTACAACTGACCTACGGTTAAAAGAGGCA